CGCTGCACTTACCGGACAGGGCGACTCGGGTGGCTCAGCTGCTCGTCGGCTCGGCAACTCGGCGGCTCGGGCGGCTCGGGCGGCTCGGCGGTACGGCGGCTCGGCAGCAAGCGCGGCTCGGCGACACGGCGGCTCGGGCGGCTCGGGCGGTACGGCGGCTCGGCAGGCCCGGGCGGCTCAGGTGGCGCGGCGAGGCCGCGTGGGGAGCGGCGGCGGGGCCGAGTGGAGCGGCGTCGGCGGGTGCAGTCAGCTGCGGCAGCAGCCGCGGCCCCGAGGGAGGTGGTGGCGGCTGCTGCTGGCGACGGCTGCAGCTGCTGCTGCAGGGACGGCGGCGGCCGCTGCGGTAGGGGCGGCGACAGTGGGCCGGAGAGGGCGGTGCGAGGGGCCGCGTCACGAGGAGCCGCGGAGGGCGGCGACGGGCCGTGAAGGGGCGGCGCGAGGGGCCGCGGAGGGCGGCGACGGGCCGTGAAGGGGCGGCGCGAGGGGCCGCGGAGGGCGGCGACGGGCCGTAGGGGGCCGTAAGGGGCCGCTGAGGGCGGTGCGAGGGGCCGACGGGCGGCGCGAGGGGCCGTAAGGGGCCGTAAGGGGCCGACGGGCGGCGCGAGGGGCCGTAAGGGGCCGCGCGAGGGGCCGTAAGGGGTTGCGCGAGGGGCCGTAAGGGGCTGTAAGGGGCCGTAAGGAGCCGCGCGAGGGGCCGTAAGGGGCCGTAAGGGGCCGACGGGCCGCGCTAGGGGCCGTAAGGGGCCGTAAGGGGCCGCTAAGGGCGACGCGAGGGGCCGTGAGAGGGCGCGACTGTGGGAGCGAAGCGCGCTCCGGGCAGGAAAAAAAAAATTTCGTGGTGGGCCCTAGGAAGCGTTCCCACTAGGGAACCTGCTCGATACCATGAGAAGAAACAAGGAATGAATGAACTATGAATGAATTGGGTACAAGTACTAACCCTAATTGGGTTGTACCCCTTATGGGCTACCCCACTATAGCCTACACAATATGCATGAGCTATAATGTTCTGACAGGCGACGGGGCCGCAAGGGGCGGCAACGGGGCCGCTGGAGGCGGCGACGGGGCCGATAGGGGCGGGGACGGGGCCGCTAGGGGCGGCAACGGGGCCGCTGGAGGCGGCGACGGGGCCGATAGGGGCGGCGACGGGGCCGCGAAGGGGCCGCGAGGGGCCTGGAAGGGCGGCGACGGGCCGCTAGGGGCGGCGACGGGGCCGCGAAGGGGCCGCGAGGGGATTGAAAGGTCGGCGACGGGGCCGCTAGGGGCGGCGACGGGGCCGCGAAGGGGCCGCGAGGGGCCTGGAAGGGCGGCAAAGGGGCCGCTAGGGGCGGCGACGGGGCCGCGAAGGGGCCTCGAGGGGCCTAGAAGGGCGGCGACGGGGCCGCTAAGGGTGGCGCGAGGGGAAGAAAAAGTTCGTCGCACGCAACGTGGCGTGCAACGCACAGAGTAGCAGCGGAAGCAGTTAGGTGGACCCACAGGCCAGGAGCGTAGATGCTCTGATAGCATGTGAAGAAAATGAGGAATGGAAGAAGAGGGATTGCACTAGCAGCAGTTGGCATACATATAGGAAACCCTAATTGGGTTGTACTCGCTATAGAGTACCCCACTGCAGGCTAGACAATTATAACATTCTGACAGCTCCCACAGGTTCCGCCAGAAGTTGTTGGTGAATTTCGTGTCTCGGTCGCTGATGATCGCTGCTGGTATCCCGTGCAGTCGAACGATGACGGAGATGAAGAGGCGAGTTGTTTCTTCGGCCGTAATTAACTTTTTGCAGGCTGCGAAGTGTGCCATTTTCGTCAACCGATCGATGACGACCAGGATCTCGTCGTTCCCACTTGCTCCTGCCGGTAACCTCGTGACGAAGTCCATCGTCACCTGCTGCCAAGCACGCTCTGGGGGTAGTATCGGCTGCAACTGCCTTGCCAGCTTCCGTGATGATTTCATAGTTGGCAGGTGGGACACGATGCCACGTGTCGCTGCACGTCGGTCAGCATATCGAGCCAATAATAATACTGGTGCAGCTGCTGCCATGCCTTTTCTACTCCGAAATGGCCTGAGGTAACCCCGTCGTGTCCCTCCTATAATAATAGCTCTCTTAGTGAAGTGTAGCCTTGTACCCAGATGCGATCGGTGCCGGCCTTAACATAATAAGCCCCCTTTGCCGCTGCAAAATGCTGCGAATTTCCTCCGGTGAAGAATGGGTCTGTTTGGTGGCCGTGGGTAAATAGTTCTGTGAGTAGTGGGCTGGTGTGGGCGAGTAGTATAGCGTGGATTTGGGCAGTGGGCCGGTCAGTGCGTAGGCAATATTTGATGCCCCCTTTTTATAAGTGACCGTGTAGTGGAAGTTTGACTCGAGGAAATAGAGCCAGCGAACCTGTCGTGGGTCGAGGTGGGGTTGTGCGTGAAGGTACTGTAGTGATTTGTGGTCTGTCCGAACTGTCACGTCTGCGCTGGTCAAGTAACAGCGCCAGACCTTGAAGGCGTGCACGATCGCGAAAATTTTGCGGTCGTGTATCGGGTATTTTTTCTCGGGCGGATGCACTTTACGTGACTCGTATGCGATAGGCTGTAAACCGTTGCCGAAATCCTGTAGCAGTACGGCCCCGATAGCGATGTCACTTGCGTCTGGAACCACTTCGAATGTGCGGTGTGGGTCGGCAATGCGCAAGACGAGCAGGGAACAGAGAACATTTTTCAAGGCAAAAAAAGCAGCATGCTCTTTCTCCCCCTACGTAAAAGCACCCCCTTTCGCAGAAGATCCGTTAGTGTGGCCGTTCACCGTGCCATGTTGGGGACGCCGACGCACATAATTCACGAACCCTAAAAATCTCTGCAGCTCCGTGATATTTGTCGAGGGGTGCCACACTTTTACCGTGTCCAGCTTCTTTGGGTCAATCTCGACTCCGGCCTCCGAAATAACGTGCCCCAAAAATTCTAACCTATCCTGAAAAAGCTCGCACTTGGAACCCTTGGTCAGTAGTCGGTGCTGGTCAAAATTTTTGAACACTACTTCCAGATCTGCTAAGCGCTGCTGCTTATCACGACTGTGGACAAGGATGTCGTCGAGGTAAACTATCACGCATTGATCTAAGAGTGGTCTAAATGCCTCATTCATGGTCATAAAATCGACGGTGCGTTGGTCAACCCGAATGGCATCACGGTGTACTCGAATGACCCGTACCTAGTCTTAAATGCCGTCTTGGCGTAGTCCGATGGTTCGACTCGAATCTGATGGTAACCTCCTTGTAAATCTATTTTCGATAAGACTCGTGCTGTTCGCGATTGAGTTATCAGTTCGTCGGCGCGAAGAATGGGGTATCGCCACTTGACTGTTACCCTGTTCAGTGCTCTGTAATCAATACACATGCGAAACCCTCTGTCTTTTTTTCGGTGTGAATACTATCGGTGCGGCAAACGGTGACGAACTCGGTTGGATGAATTTTTTCTCTAACGTGTAATCTAACTGCTTCCTCAGTTCGTCGAGCCCGGGCTGTGTCAGTCTGAACGGTCGCTGTATGGGTGGTTGTGCCCTCGGCTCTAACTCTATTCGGTGGTCGTGCGCTCGCTGAGGTGGCAGTCCCTCCGGTAAGTCGTCCGGAAAAATCCACGGGTACCGTTTCAACAGTTCCTGTAGTTCGGGCAGTACCGCTGTCAAGAGTTTCTGAAAATCACTCGGCTGCTCGGCCTCACCTACCAATGCTATATCCACCGCGTACACGTCAGCTCTAGCGACGACAACCCGTTTCATCATAATGGTGTTGACGTGGACTGTCGAAGACTCCGATGACTGCCTGCAAGGTATTTCGACCCAGTTACCACTACTTCGCACAGTGCAGCTACCCGTTGTCCAATCGATTCGCGATTGTAACGTCTCAGCCATCACGTCCAGTAAAATGTCGGCCCATCCAACATCGTCACGAGCATTTCATGTGTAAACCCGAATTTTCTCCCGCAACGAACTTTCACCCTCTCCATTTTCTCCCTTATTGCCAGTGGCGTGCCGTCAACTAAGCATGCGTCAGTCTCTGGTAAACAGCAGCTAAGCGACAATTGCAGTTTTCGTGCAATTGCGGTACTAACTAAGCTGTGGCTCGCTCCTCCGTCTATAAAAATCTTCACTGCTGTCCCCTGTATTTTCCCGTAAATTCGTATTGGACAATCCGTCGTTGTGCCCTCCTTATTCATCCGAGCCCGATCGATGGCGTGAATTGATACTGTGACTCGGTGAGGGTCGGTGAGGTTGGGCGAGCAGGTTGTCTCGTCAATAGTTGGCTCGTTTCCTACTTGAGGATCTCGTTGAATTTTGAGAGCCCGATTTCGTGCGAGATATCCAGCTTTAGCCCTCCGACGTAACGGTCCACCCGCTCCGCTTCGTAGATGTAGCCGACTTGCTTGCGCAGTGCGAGAACACCGCTCGTATAGTCTTGGACCAACCCAAGTTGTCGCCAAGTACGTAGTTTCTGATGCGCCGAAATAGAAGTCGCGATCGGCTCGAAGCACGCCCGAAGCCCTGCGCACCACGCATCCCACGTGTTATACTGGGCGGTTTCGCAAAACGAAATCTAGGTGACGGCTGTGTCACAAATAGTAGACATACCTAGGCTTAGTAGAAACCCTAGCCTAGGCTCTTGTCTAGAGGAAAGCAAGAATGTGAACAGCAGAAGAGAGGTTTCACTAGCAAACAACGGGATACATATAGCAAACCCTAACAGGGGTGTACTCACTATAGAGTACCCCACTGCAGACTTGAGAAATATAACAATCTGACACACCCCCATAGGCAAAGTGGGGTATAATCAGCATGTCAGAATGTTATAATTGTCTAGCCTGCAGTGGGGTACTCTATAGCGAGTACAACCCAATTAGGGTTTCCTATATGTATGCCAACTGCTGCTAGTGCAAATCCTCCTTTGTTCATTTCTCCTTCTGACTGCTGATTCTGACATGCTATCAGAGCAGGTCGACCCTCCTGGGTCGATCCTGTGGGTGGGCCCCACCCGATGCTTCCGCTGCTCTACTGCTGTCGCGCGCCCCGGGCGCGCGACCCTATCTTCCTGCCGCGCGCTCGGAGCGCGCGGCGTTTTTCATCCCGCCGTGCGCTCGGGGCGTGCGGCGGTTTTCTGCCCGCCGTGCGCCCCGAGGCGCGCGGCGGTTTCCTGGCCGTCGTGGCGCCCCCGGGGACCTGCGCGCTGCCCCCCGTCGTCCTCCTCCCGTCGCCTCGTCGCGGCGCCCTGGGGGCCCGCGCGCCGGCCCCTCCCGTCGCCTCGTCGCGGCGCCTTGGGGGCCCGCGCGTCCCCCCCCTCCCGTCGCCTCGTCGCGGCGCCTTGGGGGCCCGCGCGCCGCCCCCTCCCGTCGCCTCGTCGCGGCGCCTTGGGGGCCCGCGCGCGGCCCCTCTCGTCGCCCGTCGAGCCGCCCTCGGGGGCCCGTGCGCGCCCCCCCCTCCCGTCACCCGCCGTGGCGCCCTCGGGAGGCCCGCGCCCTGCTTCTTCGTGGTGCCCAGGAGACACCCCGCCGCCTCCCTTTCCCTCCGTGAACCGCCCCTGCTGTTTCCCGCGCTCCTGCCTGCGTTAGGGTTTGGGGGTGGCGGGCATGGGGGTGACCGGTGTGGGTAACCTGCAACTCCTCCTCCTCCTCCGTCTCCCACTGCTGCAGCTGCCGCTGAGGGGGGTGGGTGTGTGGGAGCCGAGGGTTTAGGGTTTAAGGGGGGTGACGGGGGAGTGGAGCTAGGGGTGCAGCAAGGGGTGTGTGGAAAGGAGGTGGGACTGTTTGGGGAGGCTGAGAGGAGGCCGCCGTCGTGTCGTTCGCAGCGCCTGTAGTCCGGAGCCGTCGTGCTCTCGGTAGCCCAGAGAGCCTTGCTGTGCCGGTCGCCCGTGGGTCCGTTGCTCCTGCCGCTCGTCGTAGCCGCGGGGCCTGTTACTCCCTGTAGTCCGGGGCACTTGCCGCCGGTAGCCACTGTGCCAGTCCTCCTGTTGCCCATGTGTCTGCAGCTTCAGCCGTCGTCTCCCATCTTCTCTCCCTTCACAATTCCTCCTCCTCCTCACTTGCCCTCTGTGATCGCATCTAGCTTTGCTTATAATTGTGAACTATTACTATGCTTGCTCATTGTGCTGATTACACCCCACTTTGGCTATGGGGGTGTGTCAGAATGTTATAATTGTCTAGCCTGCAGTGGGGTACTCTATAGCGAGTACAACCCAATTAGGGTTTCCTATATGTATGCCAACTGCTGCTAGTGCAAATCCTCCTTTGTTCATTTCTCCTTCTGACTGCTGATTCTGACACAGCACAGAATGCAGTCGCATAATAAGTTCACAAGCACAAGTAAAGCTAGTGGGAGACATAGAGGACTCGTAAGGAGGAGGAGGGACTGTGAGAGGAGAGGAGATTGGAGGCGGCGGCTGAAGCTGCTAGCACACGGGCTACTGGAGCAACTGGCACACGGGCTACCGGACACAAGCAAGGGTATCCGGACTACTGGAGTAACTGGCTCCGCGGCTAAGACGAGCGGCTGGAGCAACGGGCCCACGGGCGTCTGGCGCAACGGGCTCACTGGCTACCGGACACGAGCAAGGGCATCCGGACTACAGGCGCTGATGGCTCCGCAACGGCTACCTCCGTTCAACCTCCCGCACTGTCGCAGACCCCCTTTCACACCCCCCCCTATGCACCCCTAGCTCCACTCCCACAGCACCCCCCTAGCGCCACTCCCACGGCTCCCACACATCTACCCCCCTCAGCGGCAGCTGTAGCAGTGGGAGACGGAGGAGGAGGAGGAGGAGCAGGGTACGGCTCACACACCCGCCACCCCCATACCAGCCACCCCCATACCCGCCACCCCACGGCTGCACGCGCAGCAGGGAGGCGAAGGAGAAGGGGGGGGGGGGGGGGGGGGGGGGGGGGGGGGGGGGAGGAGGAGGCTGCGCACGGGTCCCCGGGGGCGGCGCGCGGGTCTACAGGGGGGGCGCGCGAGTTGACGGGGACGGGCTCGCGGGTCCCCGGGGGCGGCGCGCGGGTCGACGGGGGCGCTGCGAAGGGCGACGGGGAGCCACGCGCTAGTCCCGGGGGGCGCCGCGACGGACGACGGGGGGGAGGGCGCGGGTCGACGGGGACGGGAGCGCGAGTCCCCAGGGGCGGCGCGCGGGTCGACGGGGGCGCTGCGATGGGCGACGGGGAGCCGCGCACGGGTCCCTGGGGGCGCCGCGACGGACGACGAAACCGCCGCGCGCGCCCAGGATGCGCGGCGGGCAGGAAAACCGCCAAGCGCCCCGAGCGCGTGGCAGAAAGAAAAAAAAACGTCGCGCGCCACAGGGCGCGCGGCACAGAGTACAGCATCGGAAGCAGGTGGGCCCGCAGGCCAGGAGCGTAAACGCTCTGATACCATGTCAAAAATAGTAGACATACATAGGCTTAGGAGAAACCCTAGCCTAGGTTCTTATCTAGAGGAAAGCAAAAATGAGAACAGCAGAAGAGGGGTTTCACTAGCAAACAATGGGATACATATAGCAAACCCTAACAGGGCTGTACTCACTATAGAGTACCCCATTCAGACTAGAGAAATATAACATTATGACAGGCTGGGCCCGTGGGCTCTCCCTCTTGCGACGGCGGCTTGTAGGCGCGTGGCGACGTCACGAAGACTCGCCACCAGTCCATGGCGGGGCCACGCAGCAGCGAAACGGTGTATCATATCTTCGCTGCATCCGACTCGACGTAATTCGCGTCGAAGAAGACGTTCATTGTGAAGACCCACGATTGAACCGTCGGACCTCCACGTTGGCTCGGGTCGAAGCAGGGCGGGCGCTGCGGTTTGAGCGACATCGGCGCGATGATGTCGTTGTTGTTGATCGTTGCTGCAAATTCAACGTGACGACGGGCTTCGCGAGGCCCGCTCGTGCTTGGTGCAGCCCTGTTCCTCTCCATGCCAGGCATTGATTGTGCGGCACCATCACTGGCTGCGCATGAGCGCTGTCCCACGCTGTCTTGTTGTGACGGTGTGCCGGACGAAATGATAATCGGCTCCTCCGTTTGCACACGTGCATTTGCAGGTGCTTATGTTGGTGCTGTTGCATTCGCCGTTGATTGCTGGCGAGTGGAGTCGTGTTCCGCCTTGAGTGCCGCGATTTCGAGCACCGAATCTTCGAGTCGGCGCACAAGTCGGTCAAGCTGCTCGTGCGTCAGCATCGCGAGATTGAATTCGGCCATGGCGGGGGTGTCGGGCAAGCTCAGCGAGAGCCTCGGTTGTGGCCGTGCGTGCTTACGAGAGAGCACTTCGAGCGACGGTGCCTGAACGCCGAGAGACGTCTACCCCCTCCAGAAAAAGAGATAGTGGGGAAGCTAAGGTGTGGGTGCGATCCGATCGTAGGCTCTGAATACCAAGTGTTACGAGTGCAATTGAACGAGCGAGCAAGAAGTGCACTATCGAAGCAAAACAGTACATCGAGCAAAGGCACGAGCGAATAATTTATAGCGAAGCTAGAGTGGTAACGATAACGTAGTTAAAATGGGGTGCGTATGGGCCTAGTGCCGAGGTTGGGAATTGTCAAGGCGGAGGTCCGGAGCGCGAGTTACCAACCGAACTGCGAGGTCGGGTCTCGTCGTGGACAGTGGCGGGAACAGTGGTCGAGGCGAGTGTCGTCAGTGGTAACGGTGCACTGTTGAGAGTTGTTGGCGGGAACAGTGGTGTATGCGCTGAGCACGGGCGCGAAGTAAGGAAACGGATTTTTCCTTACAATATGTATGATATTACGTGTATCAATAATGCAAAACCTATAGAGGGTGTTACATGTAGAGGATTTGGGTTGGTAGAGGATGGTACAAGAGTGATACAAAGGATGGTACGAACACAGTGGATGGTATAATTTCTTAACTACTCCACACAAAAGCGTTTTCTCATAAAGCGTATCACACATCTCTCCGAGCCCCCTTGCCCCCACCAGCAACCTGCCATCATAATTGCAGACCCGCCACCCCATCCCCTTCCTCTTCCTACCTCTTGCACACCTCAAAGCCCGCCCCGTCCAAACTGCAATTTCAGAGGGATGAGAACGTTCTGCCCGATATTCTAGTAGAGTGGAAATTGAGATCCTCATTTACGAAAATCCTAATAGAGCTTATAATGTTTGCCGGTCGAAAACTCAAACTCGATCGTGTAGTCATGCTTCCCACGAAGAAAACAATTTCCTTGGGCACCACGAACCAGTAGCCTCTAGGTCTGGGATCTCCAGGTTCGGCATCGACCTGCCCAATCTGGCGCGCCTCGCCTGCTAGTGTCGCGGCGGACCCAAAGCTGTTGGAACCTCGGGATTCGGAAACCTCCTCAGGACGCGGTAAGAGTGGGAGGATCGCAGGATCGCGATTGTTTTTTGAGCCCCAGAATTGATTGGGTGGGTCGATTGGCGAAGCGAGGGGCCCGCTTCGTTGTAACGATCGGCCCAGCGTCACCGTCGAAGGAAACCCCAGACCGCCCTACAGCATCTGCAACATTTCGCAGCTCACAGGGCAACCACAAGTGACTTTCGCAGCCCACAGGCCCACATTGCGGGAATGATGCGCGACTCCATTCACCCGCTTTGCGAAATTTCAGCTCTTCGCTGGCATCAACATCGAACGCGCTTGTTGCGATTGGTTCATGAACATCATCTGCAGAGTAATGCCACGGAAAGCTGAACACCGATCAGTGATCATTCGCATTCACCACCTGTGCACAATATGTCGATAAAATCCAAACTGTAGCATGGTTATAATTCTGTAAACAGGGTAACTGGTCCGCACATCAGTCGCAGTTCACGATCGATCGTCTGCTTTTACCGCGTCCTCAGTGTGTCGGTCCAAGCCAGCATCCTCAAGAGCTTCTGCAACTGAGACAGCGAGGCCGTGGATTTGAAGATCTTGATGAATGACGAATGGCTAAGATGGTCGCGTTCGGCCTGGATTCTCTCGGTGGAGCTGCAAAGCGGCCGAGAGAGGGAAAGGGGTTGGAGTTTAGGAAGTCGGATGATGACTGTAGGTCAGCTCTGACCGGCTAGTCTTATCCCAGGCAGGTAATGCTTGATCATCTAGCAAAGCGGGTTGGAGTTTAGGAAGTCGGATGATGACTGTAGGTCAGCTCTGACCGGCTAGTCTTATCCCAGGCAGGTAACGCTTGATCATCTAGCAAAGCTGTACGTTGTGAGTGCAGATCCAGTCACTATCTCAGAATCGAACGCTAGAAAAGTTCACATGCGTCCCGGACTCATCGTTTACTAGAAGACTTTCTTCTCGAACGAATCCGAACTGTTGCTGTTTCTCCTTACTTATCTCGATGCGATGGATGATGGTTCATCAGCCAAGAAGTTGACCTCTGCTGCTGCCAGCGCGAAGGAGTCTGGCGGGTCTTCGGTTGCAGCCCAATCTCCTACCTCAGTTGTCTCCGTTGATCCCGCGCAACCCGCGCTGCAAACGACTGCACCAATCGCGGCAGGTGCACCGTCGATCTCTGCACAGGCATCAGCCTCGTCACCGCTTCCCGCCTCCACGCCTGCGACAGATCCGGCTGCGCCCTCCACCGCGCTTCCGCCTCCGCCCGCGGCGCCAAAATCAGTCGTGCCTAAGCTGCCTCCCCCAATCGCAAAACCACCGGTCACTGAAACACCAGCGGTTGTATCAGCACCTAGAGCCGTTGCGACACAAGCAGCCGCTGCGACACCAGCAGCCGCTGCAACACCCAAAGGCGGGTTACCTTCATCCACAGCTTCTTCCTCTTCAGCTCCAACTGCAACACCACCTGCTGCATCACCACCAGCATCCGCAGGGGCTCCAAAAGCATTACCATCATCGGCAACTGTCGCAGCGTCAGTCTCCCCCGCGCCGTCCCGCGCAGTCGTAGCCTCAACAGCAGTCGCTACAGCATCAACTGCTACAGGATCATCTGGTGCTGTCACCCCAGCGCCCGCAGTCGCAGCAGCAACTGCAGCTGAAGCCTCTGGTTCTGCGGGTGCGGCTGGTGCGGCACCAGCAGCAGCATCAGCAGCAGTGACATTAGCAGCAGTGGGGCCAGCAGCAGCGGCACCAGCAGCAGCACCACCAGCCGCAAAACCACCACCGCCCTCTTCTACTCAATCACCCGCAACTGCTCCCCAAGTGCCCGCCACTGCACCACCTCGCGCAGCCGCGCCCCCGCCTGCCGTTGGCGCCACCACCCGGCCCCCACTAGCAACGACGGCGCGATCAGCGACTGATGGATCCCCAGCATCAGCACATGGAGTTGCGCCCTTACCCGCATCTGCGGCGCCCGGGAAGCCGTTGCAAGCTGCAGCACTCGCTGTTCCGCAAGCAACTCCCTCCGCGCCAGCCCCGGGAGTACCGCGCGCACCCTCTCCCGCGGCGGGGCCCCCTGCCGCGCTTCCGCCCACCGCCGCGAAGCCCGCAGCTGCGCCGATATTGTTAGCTACGCAATCAGCGGTGCCCTCTGTGCCGCCACCTTCCCCAGCGCCCACTAAAACGTCTCCCGCTGCCCCTACCCCAATGTCCCAAGGACCTTCCCCCGCAGCACCCTACGCGCCAGCCCCCGTGGGACTTCCCACACCATCCCCCGCAGCTCCCCCTGCTGCACCTCTAGCTGACCGATCTCGGGCAGCGCAAAAACCCGCCGGCGCTGCGCCAACTCCCCCTGCCTCGCCGTCATCCGCGCAATCAGGCTCGATCCCGCGTCCCACAGCCGGGGCAATGGTGCGGATAACCGCTCCGCCACGGCAGGCCTCCCCCGCCCCCTCTCCCGCCGTCCCCGCCCCCGCCCCCACCCCCACCCCCGCGCTTGCTTCCGCGCTGCCCCCCGTGCCTCGTACCGTGTCGGAACTGCTAGCGCATGAGGTGCTGAAAGGTGGAGGGGAAGCGATGCCGCCCGCATCTTCCCGCCCTGCCGCTGCTCCGCCTGCACCTGCGCCTGCACCTGCGGCTAAGGCTGCACCTACGCCTGCGCCGGTGTCGGTGCCTGTAGCTGCGCCTGCTCCTGCGCGCACAGCGTGTGGGAATGCAGCAGCAGTGGTCCCAGCCGCGCCAGCGAGTGGGGGGAAGTCCGGAGGGGTTTCTCAGATGACTGACGCAAAGCCTTCAACTGCAAACACAGCTGGGGGGGTTCAGTCGACTGGCGCGGTAAAGGTGACTGGTGATGGGAGGTCAGGTGCAGTCGCGATGATTGCAACGGAGGTGAAACCGAGAGTGGCAGAGGGTTCAGCAGTAGCAGCAGCAGCAGCAGCGCCTAAGGCAGCAGCATCAGCGCCTAAGGCAGGAGCAGTAGCGACTAAAACAGGAGCAGCAGCGACCAAAACAGGAGCAGCAGCACCTAAAACCGAAGCAGCAGCTGCCGCGTCTAAAACAGAGCCGTCATCCTCGTCCGCGAAGAACGCAGGCGCATCCGCGGCAAAGTCCGCCCCGTCGCCACCGCCCAATAAACCGCCGCCGCCCCCGCCGGAGCCAGTAAAGCCGTTTGAGCTAGAGGATCTAGTTCGCGGCGACGTGCGCGCGATTAAGGAGCGCATGAAACGCGCAGGGCAGGACGAGACGATGCTGAGGTTGAAGGAGGAGTTTCGAGCACTCATGGATGGTAGCGGCGGCGCGGGTGGGGGCAACGGGAGGGTGGGAGGCGGGAGTAGTAGCTTAGGCGGGATTTACGGCGGGCGCGGGTGTCTCACGTGTGTGATAGTCGCGAATAAGGAGAAGGCTGGAAAGGGCGGGTCGAACGGATTCGTATCCCCCATATGCGATAGAGTGTTGAAGCTACAGGCGGATCTAGAAGTACACTTAGCTTCGCAGAGGAAGGCTCTTAGAGACAGCTTCGCGAATTACCTCGAGATATTAATCGCCATTCGGTACTCCCTAAGGACGCTATACCTGCAGAAGAACTCGAAGCGCACTATTGGCGACCTAGTAGAGATCTTATTAGGGGACCGATGCCTGCACTGCTGCTGCCCGCTAGGCGGAGACGGGTACTGTAGAGCGTGCATGTGCGCGCTGTGCAAGAAATTCGACGAGGACCTCGTTATAGACAGGTTTCGAAATAAGACTAAGACGGGGCGGTGGCTCCAGTGCCCGTCGCCCAAGTGCGGCTGTTACGTGCATACGGACGGCGCGTTGGAGCGCGGATTGGTGCGGGTTCTGACGGAAAAGGAGGCGGAAAGTGCGCTCACGGGGCCCCCAGAAACGGTAGCGGCTGTAGGAGCGGGAGGAAAGGGCGGAGCGGTGGGAGAGGGAGGAAGGGGAGGAACGGAAGGAGCGGCAGTCCCGGAGAAGGCAGCGTCGACGACTGGAGATACAGCTTCCGTTGTTACTGGTGAGGGTGCAGCAGCTGTTGAGGGGTCGAAAAGGGGAAGGGAGGAGGAGAAGGATACTGGTGCACGTGCGGGTGCGGGTGCTGCTTCGGGTAGTGATCAAGACAGGGATGCGCGTAAGGGGAGTGAGAGTAATGGAGGAGGGAAGCGTGTTAAGGTGGAGAGTGGTGTGATTGAGGGGAGTAAGGCCAAGGTTAAGGCAGAACCGGATGCAGCAGGGCCTTTAGGGGCAATAGGATTGCTGAACTCACCTCCGCCTAAACCATCTCCACCCAACCCATCTCCACCCAACCCCTCTCCACCCAACCAAACTCCGCCCATTCCACCTCCGCCCAGCCCAGCACCGCCCAGTCCACTTCCGCCCCCTTCACCCAGCGGCAGCGCCAGCCGTGCGGACAGTGACGCTGTTCCCAACGCGTACGCCGCTGGCGGAGTGGAAGGGGGAAGCCCCGCGTCCCCTCCTAGTGCAGGCGCAGGTGTAGGGGCAGGGTCAGGTGCTGGGACAGGGGCGGGCGCAGGGGCGGGTGCATTGGTGGGTGCAGGAGCACGGATGGGCGCAGGGGCAGGCGCGAACGCGCTGGGGAGTCCGGAAAGCGGGGGGAAGGGTAACACCGCCCCTGCAGGGAAGCGGGCGTTTGCAGGGGGTGGGGGAACGGGTGCGCGCGTGCCAGATTGCATGCAATACGTGTGCCCCCTGTGTGGTTACACTAGCGCAATGTGGGACCTGTTTAGAGAGATGCTGACGACGAGTGCAGGGGTGAAGAAGAAGGACATGGGGAAGCTGAGCGAGGAGATGGCGCGTGTGGTGAGGGTTACGCGCGGTGCTGAGTGGTGCGAGCCATACCGGCGGCTGCAGGAGCGGTTGACTGCGGTGATGCAGAGTAATGAGGGGGTGAACAAGGTGGTGGGGGAGCTTCGAGCGTGTTTCGGCGTGCAAGGTGAGGGCGGGCGGAGAGAAGGGTTTGTTGGGGGGAAAAGGGGGCTTCTGGTTGTGGGAGGAAGGGTACAGCAGAGTAAAGGCTCCATAATTCCTTCCCCGCCCTTCTTAACCAACCCCTCTATATCCCCGTTTGAATCCCCCTCCCATGTATCAGATTGCATCAGAGCACCAGGCATGTGCTTTTTTGAGGTGACTCGAAGAACAATACATCATTTGATTCATACTACTGGCTATTGGCTAGAGGCTGACTAACGGATGCCACCTGTTGTTCTGTACTCCCTCCCCCACGATCAGAGCGCAGGCACGTGGCAACCATGCTGGCTGCAGGCAGACTACTTTTGAGATGTCTAAAAAGATCGACTAATGGATCACGCTTGTTCTTCTGTGCTCCCTCCTCCACGATCAGAGCGCAGGCACGGGGCAACCATGCTTGCTGCAGGCAGAAGCACCCTCTCCTTCCCCCCTCCCCCCCTCCACTCCACTCCGCCTCCTCCTCTTCCCCATCCCCATACGCCCCGCGCCCTCCTCCCTGCTAACGTTCCTCCTTCCTCGCATTCCACACACCCCACATCCCCTGGACAGCCTCCCCCTCCTCCTGCTCCTCCTGCTCCTCCCCAATCCGGGTCACCGAGCCCCATGCAGATCGACCCTTCTACCAGCCCTCCTACCGTACCTGCTACCGTGCCTGCTACCATACCTGCGACCAGCCCTCGTACCGTGCCTGCTACCACACCTGCCACCACACCTGCCACTGGTCCAGTTCCGCCGCGTAACTCCTCCCCCTCAACGCACACTGCTCACGCGCAGGCATCAGCACAGCAGGGCCCAGGGGTAGCATTACAGGGGGGCATTGAGGCGCCTGGAAAGTCACAGGCATCAGTGCAGCAGGGCTCAGGCGTAGCAGCATTGCAGGGGAACCAGCTCGGCCCAGGAACTACAACCCTCCTAGGGACCGGCAGGGGCAGAGGGGGGAATGATAGTGTGTCTGTGGTGCCAAGTACTGGTGCTGTGACTGTTAATACTGGTGGTGTGGGTGGTGCTGGTGGCAATGCGTTGTCCGTTACTGCTCACCAGCAGATGCAACAGCTGCAGGAACAGCAGCGGCAGCAGCAGCAGCAGTTTAGCTCACCTTCCTCTGGTTCTGCTGGTGGCGGTGTCTTATCAGGCCAACAGCACAGTGCGGGCAGTGGGGGGGGTGAGCACAGGGCATCCGGGCAAGCACCAGCTTCCTCTGGAACCTTTTCAGCTTCCAACTCAACTCCACTCTCCCCCACTGCTGCTCCTCGCCCGCCCACTCATACCGGCCCGCCCACTCACACCGGCCCGCCAAACGCCGCTCTGAAGGCCTCGTACACTCTATACAACACCCAGAAGAACCCTACCAGTGCCTCCGCCTCCTCTAACGCCCTCTCTATCGCCCTTTCCTGTTCCCCGCTTACCCTTCTTCCAACCAGCTCGGCCGTGTATGCTCGCAGCCCCAGCCCTCCCTTCGCGACACCTGGCAGCTGTAATAATCCCACTGCTTATTCCCCTGCCGCCGCCGCTCTTGCGGCGAGCGCGCCGCAGTACAATAAACCCAATCCCAATACCCCTGGGTCGAACGCGAATCTCGTATTTCGCTCGAATAACGACCTGGGTAGTAGTTCTCATGGGGTATCGAGTCAGCAGCAAGGTAACCACTCGTTCCCTGCAGTCTCGGTAGTGTCAGAAGGCCTGCCTTCAGGAGCCAATCCGCTTCTGCCACCTGGCCTGTGCCTGCCCTTCCCCCCTGGTATAGTCACAGAGGAGAGGGTTTCGGCTTCGGCCCTTGGGTTGGCTCTAGCAGCCCAGTGTGTGACTGTAGTGTCTGTGCCTGAAGAGAGGGGCACAGGTGGGTCGGGAGGGGCGGGAGTGGTAGGAGTGACAGGAGTGACAGTAGCAGCAGGATCAGGAGCAGCAGGAGGGACTGGAGCAGCAGGAGCGGCAGCAATGGCAGGGGACACAGTGGCAGCAGGGGGACGAGGGGGAGGAAAAGGAGGAGGGGGAAGGGGCGGGGGGGGGAGGGGGGAGGGTTACAATAGCAGAGAAGCTGGGACTGTTAGGGGAGCCTGAGATTGGAGCATATGGGATAACAGGAGCAGGAGGAGCAGGAGGAGCAGGAGGAGCAGGAGGAGCAGGAGGAGGGGGGGTGGGCAGGGGAAACGGGGGCGGAGGGGCAGGTGGAGCGTCGTGGAATAAGGCTGCTGTGACGGCTGGAGAAAGGAAAGACTCGAAGCACCTGAAAGGAGCTACAACTCCAGCAGGGGCAGGGGGAGGGATGGGAAGCAGCGGAAGTGCTGGAGGAGGGAGTAGAGCGGGGCCTGGGGGAATAGGGCCCAGGGGAGGGGGGAGTGTGGGGAGTATGGGGGGGGTGGGCGCGGGCAGTGTGGGGAGCTTGGGGGGAGGAGGAGTGTCGGCCATTGCAGGGATTGTTCAACCACCATTGCCAGAGTTCAGGGTATGGGGAGACCTGGTTTGGGTTTCTTTGGGTGGATGTGCACATGCAATGGGAGTGCGATGAATGGCATGTGTGGGTGTGCAAGTGCGATTATGTCATGGGAGCACCATTGTTGCGAACTGGTGTGCTGTGTTGTGTCCCTCCCTTGCCGCTCTTCCCTCTTTGCCTGCTTGAGTTCAGGTGCCTCTCTTTCCACTTTCCTTAATGCCCCTGTAGTTTTATGTCATTCCACTCATCCTCTCTCTCTCTGCATCTTTCTCTGTGCGCTTTCCATCCATCCATCCACCTGTTCAGAACATATACAACGGCGCTCAGATTCCCCTCCCTCCAACGCTGAAGAAAGCAGCAACAGGAGGAGACTCCTTCCCTGCCCTCCCGCCCTCTCTGCTCGCGTCTCACCATAATCTCTACTCTCGTCAAGTTCCCCCTCTTCCCTCAGCACCCCCCTCAACCGCTCCTGCACCTGCTGCTGGTTCAGCTGCTTCATCTATCCCACTCTCCGCCACCACTTCTGCCACAGCTGCTGCTGCTGCTGCTGCTTCTCCTACTGCTGCTGTCACTGCTGCGGGTACTGGTACTGCTACAGCAAGCAGCTCAGCTAATCATCCCTCTCATCTCCATATCCGCTCCTCCCCCATGCCTCATCTCTCACGCACACCCTCACCTGGGTTAAATCAGTCCCACAGACCCACCTCCTCTCCGACCCTACAAGGCAGTAGATCGTCGAGTCTACCCCCTTTGCCTCCTGTTCCTGTGAATGCGGGCTCCAGTCTTGCGGCTTCTTATACCACGAGCTCTGCTGCCGCTGCTGCTTCTGCTGCGGTTCCTGCTGCTGCTGCTGCTGCTGCTGCTGGTGGTACTGCTGGTGCTGCCGCCGCTGCTATGGCTACAGCTGGTGCTGCCGCTGCTGGTAATGGTGCTGTTGCAACGAAGGTCTGGCCAGGTGGGAAGCGGAAAGCACCTGAGGGAGGGCGAGGGGGGGAAAGGGACGAAGGAGGCAGTGCTGGGAGGCTGGTGGGAAACGGGGGAGTGGAGACAATGGGACGAGGTTCTAATGTGGCCGCTGGTGGTAATGGCATGCAGAAGGAGCAGAGTGAGCAGCACAGCAGTAACCATGCTGCTGCAGCTGCCCCTGCTGTTGCTCGTGCTGTTGGTGCTGGTGCTGCTGGTACTGTCCGCTCAGGGGCGAGTGGGGAGGGAAGGGGGGTGGTGGACAGTGTGGGTAGGAGTCAGGCAGGGGAGCCAGCAGCACAGGGTGCAGTGGCAGCGACTGGCAGTGGTGGTATTGCTGCCAAAGCAGGTGCTGGTGCTCTGAGAGGCTCAGGTGGCGCAGGTGGGCTTTCAGGTGGGCTTTCAGGTGCCACAGGAGCTGCCTTAGCCAATGGCGGTGCCTTCGCAGGTAGAGATTCTGCCACTGCCGCCACTGCTCCAACTACAGCTTCCCATCCTGCTGCTGCTGCTGGTGGTGCGGAGAAGGAGCAAGGTGGCAGTGGTGGTGCGCAAGACAGAGAATCCTATTTGGGTGATGAGAGCACGGGAGGAGTGAAGGGCAGTGAACGGAAGAGAGATGCGGAGGACGGGGGGGATGCAGGCCATGAGGAGGCGAAGAGGTGGAGAAAGGCAGGAGGCGAGGGAGCTTGCGGGGACAGAGGGATGGCGAATGGAAAGGTGAAAAATGAAGGCAGGGAGTTTGCGGGAGGGGCGATTCAAGGGGGTATGGAGGAGGCACTGGTGGGAGCTATAGTTGGGAAGCTAGAGCGCAGGCGACAGGATTTGGAGGAGAAGCGAAGGGAGAGGAGGGAGAGGCTGGATGTTATTGTGGGGAAGCGGAAGGAGGTGCAGGAGGTGCGGGAGGAGAAGAGGAGGCGGTTGGAAGAGGTGGAAAGGGATGCAGATAGGAAGGTCCGTGAAGCAGAGGAGCTGGAGGCTCGGGCGGCGAAGGCTCGGGCCGAAGCAGAGGCGGCGGTTCGGGGGAAGGCGGAACTTACAGCGCGGATACAGGAGGAGTATAGGGAGAGGGAGGTGAGGGTGGTGAGGGAGGTGGGGCAGGAGGAGAGAGCAAGTGTGGAGCTGGATAAGGTGATTGCTGAGGGGGAGCAAAAGCTGCGGGAGATGGAGAAAGAAAAGGAGGAGATGGTGAAGAGAGTGAGGGAGATGATGAGAATGATGGTGACTCAGGTGGAAGGGTGGGGAGAGTAGGGAGAGCATGGGGGGCGCTGCCCTTTTCACCACAGCAGGTTATACGTGGTTAGCACACATGGTATGTGCTGCCCAACCAGTTTTGCTGCATCGGCTCATGTGCGGAGAGTAGGTGCAAACTATGTATAGCACACAAGTATCAGTATGCAGTGGGCACTGGAGGAGGGTAACTAAAGCTGGCGAATACAGTCAGAAATGGTGAAATGTACTGGTTGCCTGTAATGGGTACATGGAAACAACTTCGAAATTACCTTCAAAAATTGTCCAGGTTGATTCACTTCTGGTCTTGGCCATGGTTGGAGATACTGGCTTCAAGAGGTGTATGAGTTCTGTTTTATTCCATATCATTTAAAAATTCGCCCCCCCATATACACCCCAGATTAACTACTAAGGGACGCATGCATGATGGGAGATAGGCGTTATGAAAGTAACGGATGGCCGCAAAACGTATTCAGCGGTTTGTTAACCAGGTTTTCTTCCAGGTGTGTCGAGGGTTTTCGCAGGTGGTGGGTCAGGTGTCCTGGCTGCTTCGCGCGTCATCTGCGGTGCTCTCGTGAATTCCGCTGCTCGGTTCTTCAGGAAGTCCTGGTTGGTGACAGGGCGAGGGCCAGCCAGTGCGTGGTGTGCTTTCCAGCAGGATTTGGATATTGTACGTATCATTCCACAATGCTTCTGCCCCAAAACGGAAAAAAGAAATTGGAGCACAAGGGACTAAGGTCCGGTTTCCAGACATTTTCAGTAGTTTTTCTCACACGTTGTAGCTGCGGTGTGGGAACACCGACAGCGTGTGAAGGGATCGAAACCGTTTACTACTTTCTGGTTGAGTGGGGGGGGAAGGGCAGAACAGAACAACGAGGTAAACTAGATTCCTGCCCTATATCCACAGCTATTGTACAAATGTACTAATGTACTCCAACATGAACAGTATTTCCCCCCTTTTTCGGTTTCCGTGCTGCTGCTCAATGGTCCCCCAAATTCCTCCCTGCGAATTAACATGATCAGACTCGCCATCCAGGAGGCTTCTCCGCCACCGATCGCTGGTGTGGCTGGCTGATCCGACGGTGTGTGTGTCCCCTCCGGCAAGCCCCTACGATTTTCACACAGCGCTGCGACTGTCCGCCAATAACGCACGAATCACCTCACCACAGTCAACTCTAGCCCGCCCTCCCTCATTCCCTCATCGATTTTCCTACAGTCGGGCTAGGCTAGGCTTCTCCTCAAACCCAGTGCCCATTTTCTCCCTCTTCCTCTCACCCCATCAGGCTTGGCCGTCTCACCCCATCAGCAACCCATTCCATCCACCTTTGGAAGTACAGCCGGCACCAGATATCCTACCCAACCATCCCCAAACCAGGATAACCCAGTCCTACCCTACCCAATCCTTCTCCCTCTTCCCGTTGTTTGTGCGACCTCGTTTCCCATCCGACGCATCCCCTCCCCAACCACAGCAACAAGCACACAGCCACCCGTTGCCTTCTTGTGTTTGTCCGTTCCGTTGTTGCATTTGCACGCATTCGCCACCTAGCAGTACTAGCTCCAGACCTGACCTGTTTGATCAAAAGTATTCCAGTAACAAGCGAGAGCGCCGATACACAGCACAGTACAGTATTATGAGGACTCTGAAAACAGTGCATGCGCGCAGCAGAGCCTCCAGCGAACTTATTTTCAGCTATTTGATTGTTCGTCGCTCGTAGCTCAAAAAGCGGTCGCAGTAGAAGCAGGCTGACGAGGTCCGAGAACCCACCGCGCGCATGCTAATCAGTTACGAAAGCGAGCGAAGCGAAGCGAATCCCTTGGTACCGAGAGAAGCACGAGAGAAGCACTAGACGATAGGGAGAGACTGTCTGAACCGCGTCTCGGATTCACTCGCTGTTAGTAGTCATAGCCTCCCCTCACTAAACTCTGCGCCCGTTCATCTCACATTCAACTCCTCCCTCGCCTGCGTTCATCCTCGCTATAGCCGCTTCAGAACGTTCGGAATAAATCACTCCAGCAGAAGCTCTAGTCATCTTCCACTATCACCACAGCAGCCACCGATCTTGTCGTCACAACGTCACAATACAATACACAGCCTCATGACGTTCAATATCCTCCTCCTCCCCTTCCTCTCCCTCCTCTTCCTACACTCTCGCCCCTACCACACCTCCCCGTACCAAATACCTCAAACCGCGCCAATCGCCACCGTTGCTCTCCTAGCCGTTGTTACCACTCTCCCTGATCTCTCGCTCCCAGTGGCCGCCGGGCCCGGGAGAGGCGGAAAAGGCCCCGGGGGTCCCAAGCAGGGGGGTAGAAAAGGCGGGGGGGGATGGGGCAAGGGCAAGGGGAGGGGCGGAATGGGGCCAGATGGGGGTCCGCTCCCAGATGGGTCAGGTGACGGCCAGGTGCCTCCTCAGGATGATTCAACATCGCCGGGAAACGAAGAGCTACCGTCTGACGGATCTCCTCCTCCTGCTGCTGCTCCCCCGTCAATCACCCCCCCTCCCCCGATCTCCGCTCCTCCATCCGAAACCAGCCCTCCGTCCGACAGCCCTCCCTCGATCGCTTCCCCGCCGAGCGCCGCGCCTCCGTCGGCCGGCGGCGAGACGGCAGCGGACGACGCCACTAGCGGCGCGTCGTCGTCGGACATGCTAGGACCGGAGAAGGATTTCGTGGCAGACGGCTCGACTGCGGCTCCGGGATCCGAGGCGGCGCCCGGCGGAGGCGGAGACGGGTCGCTGTCGCATCTGGACTCGAAGCAAGGTATGCGCCGCCGTCTCGCTGCCGTCTCGCTGCCGTCTCGCCGCCGTCTCGCTGCCGTCTCGCTGTTGCCGTCTCGCTGCCCCAACTCCCTCCTCCCCCCCTCTCCGTACTTCCCTTCTCCCCTCTCAGCCCACTCCGAGGCCCCTCCAAAGTCCCCTCTTCCCTCCTCTTCTTCCCCCTTCCCCGCCTCCGCTTGCCCCGCCCCCTCCCACTTCGTGTCCCCGTCCCTTTTTTCGAGCCTGTCCACTTGTGAATTCCCCACCCGCTCCCCTTCCTTCTTCCCCATTCCGCTTCCCCTTTCCGCGCGCGCGCCTCCCCCCGCGTGCGCGTCCGGCAGCCGAGGTGCTGGCGGAAGTGCGCGACCACTGGGGGCTGACGTGGAACCTGTCGCTGCCGTGCTGGGAGATCGGCGGACTTTCGTGCAACACCGACGGCACCGTTCAGTCACTGTGCGTCCCGCTTATGCACCCCCCCGACCCCCCCCCCCCCCCTCCCCCTCTCTCTCTCTCTCTCTCTCTCTCTCTCTCTCTCTCTCTCTCTCTCTCTCTCTCTCTCTCTCTCCCTCTCTCCCCCTTTCTCTCTCTCTCTCTCTCTCTCTCTCTCTCTCTCTCTCTCTCTCTCCCTCTCTCCCTCTCCCTCTCCCTCTCCCTATCCCCCTTCTCTTTCCCTCACGTGTTCCGCCCTGCGCGCGTGTCTCCCCCTCCCCACTTGTACGCTTGTTCTTTCAACTCCCCCTGTACGCTTTTTCTCTCCCTCCCCCACCCCCCTCCCCGTGTACGCGTTACAGGGATCTGTCGTCCGCGGGGCTGAGCGGCGGCATTCCCAAGGCCCTCTTCCACCTCACCACGCTGCAGTACCTGTGCGTCTATGATCCACCCATGCCGCCTCGCCTACGCTCACCTGCGCTCACCTGCGCTCCCCTGCGCTCACCTGCGCTCACCTGCTCGTTTCCTTTCGATCACCCCTCCCCCGCTCCGCTCTTTCACCGCCGCCCACCTGCCACCTCCCGACCTCACCCAGTCTGCCCGTTCCTCTCCCTTCCTCTCTTTCCCTCCTCCCCTCCTCCCTCCCATTCCGCTCTCACCTCCCGCACTCCGCTGTACCCCTCCCCTCCGCTGCCTTGCCCCGCCAGGTCGCTGGCAGACAACAGTCTCACAGGGAAGCTACCCAAGGCCGTCTCTGCTCTCACGCGCCTCGAAACACTGTGCGTGCGCCGCCTCTCCTTTTCCCTCCCCTTGCCGTCCCTCCCCTTCCCTCCCCTTCCCTCCCCTTCCCTTCCCTTCCCTTCCCTCCCTCCTTTCGCCTTCCTTCCTCGCCCTCTCTCTCCTGCATCTCCTTTCCTTCCTTCCGTCCAGCTCCGTCCAATGCTACGTCTCTCCGCCTATCCGTGTCAACCTCCTCTGCTCTCTCGGCTGCCTTGCTCTCTCTCTCTCTCTCTCTCTCTCTCTCTCTCTCTCTCTCTCTCTCTCTCTCTCTCTCTCTCTCTCTCTCTCTCTCTCTCTCTCTCTCTCTTCTCCTCGTCTCTCACCCTCACGCTTCCATGCGCTACTCTTACACCCTTCACGGCCCTCCACGCCCTCGCTTCTCGCCTGGTGTATGCTGCCCTCCTGCTCATCCCTCCTCTCCCTCCTCTCCCTCCTCTCCCTCCTCTCCCTCCTCTCCCTCCTCTCCCTCCCCTCCCATCCGCCCATCCCACCGCCCACCACGGCCATGCAAGCCGCTGTAGAGCACACCACCAGCTCACATCTTCTGTTGACACGTCTCGAAAATCCCATCCGCATCCGCCCCCTCTCACACCCCCCTATCCCCGTGTCGGCTCTGCAGGGTGCTGCACAGCAACCAGCTCTCGGGCGAGGTGCCCAACGTCTTCTATTGAGACGTCTCAGAACTAGATTACCAACATCCGCCCCCCCCCTCCCCACCCCTACCCTCCTCGCGGCCCTGCAGGGTGCTGCACAGCAACCAGCTCTCGGGCGAGGTGCCCAACGTCTTTGCCGACATGCCCAATCTCGTCGAACTGTGAGGCCCACCCACACCACACCACACCACACCACACCACACCACACCACACCACACCACACCACACCACACCACATCACACCACACCACTGTCCCACCCGCTCCATGCTCCACCCAGCCCCACCCAGCCCCACCCCGCCCCACACTGCCCCACCCCGCCCCGGCTGTTGCACTTGCGCTCCCTTGCCACACCCGTCCCCAGTTGTCCTAGATCCTGCAGTTCCTATGCTCTTGTCCTCACTCACTCGCCCAGTCATTCCTCCGCACAATCTCTGATTGTTTTACATCTTCCCTCGTCCATCTACTCATTCTCACCTTCTCACTCGCCCCATCGTCCCTTGTTTGTGCAGCTCAGGTTCTCCCGTCTCTCTCTCTGCCCCTCTCTGCCCCCCCCTCCCTACCCCTCTCTGCCCCTCTCTGCCCCTCTCTGCCCCCCCCTCCCTACCCCTCTCTGCCCCTCTCTGCCCGTCCCTGCCCGTCCCTGCCCGTCCCTGCCCATCTCTGCCCCTTTCTGCCCATACGTGCGCCCACCTGCCGTGCCCTGCAGGTCGCTAGCGCGCAACAGCTTCGACCACGCCCTACCCTCCTCCCTCGCCCTCTGCTCCACCCTCATCTACCTGTCAGTGCCTCTCCTGCTCCCACGCTGTAATCTGATAACTGCAACTTTGGATGCCCTCGCATGCTTTTCCCTCCTCTTTCTGATCCATCTCTCTACTTTCAGGCTCCTTAAATATATATATATATATATTTCCTCCTTGTCCCCTTTTCGCCCCCTTTCCGCTGCGTGTGCGCTCCTGTCGCTGCCTCACAGCAATCTCGGTGGCAACTTTTTCAACAAGATCATCCCAGAGGGTTTGGGAGGCCTGATTGATCTGCGTACGCTGTGAGCCTCTAACCATGCACACACACACCCACACACACACACACACACACACACACTTCACATACACACACTCTCTTTGTTCCCACTCTGCATGAAAATTTAGAAACAGCCCCCCCCCCCCCCCCCCCAACAGTGGCATGTATCACCGTCCGTCTGTGACTCTCTGCTCAAACCCCAGTCGCACGCCCCTCCTCTCAGTGCTCCGCTTCTCGCCTCCACCCTCCGCGCCCCTCACTCCCCTGCTCCGACTTGAAAATGCTCCAAAGCGGTCGAAATGCAACCTCGCTCATCTCTCGTCTCTCCCCCCTGCCCCAACCAGTCTACTGTACGACAACGCCTTTGTGGGCAGCATTCCAGACACTCTCTCCGACCTCACTCTCCTTGAGAAACTGTCAGTGCGCTTCTCTCTCTTCCTCCCTTCCCTTCCCTGCCCTTCCCTTCCCTTCCCTTCCCTTCCCTTCCCTTCCCATCCCTTCCCTTCCCTTCCCATCCCTTCCCATCCCTTCCCTTCCCCGGATGCCTCTGCTCGGATGAGAATATCTCCCACACGCACGCCCGCACACTCTTGTCCGCTTCTACACTAGCCCATGAGACTGCATGCGTCCACACGTTTTCTCTCATCCACACGTACGCCCCCACCTTGGATCACTCACTGCTCCCAAAGCTCACATCAACTCATTTTCGATCTTCCTCCCTCACTCTCTCTCTGCCACTCTCTACGTACCGGTACATCGATTTCGCCCTTTACACTCGACCCCTCTCTCTCCCCCCTTATCCCCCTTTCCCCCTTCCCCCCCTTCTCCCCCGCGCCCTCCCCTGATCCTTCCCCCGCTCCCTCACCACAGTGATCTCTCTCTCAACATCCTCTCCGGGACCTTCCCCTCCGCCCTGCTATCCCTCCCCTCGCTCAAGTCCCTGTACGTTCACTGCTTTCCCTCCTCTCCACTCCACACCACTCCACCCCTCTCAGCCCTCCTCTCTCAAGTTTTATTCTTCCGCGTGCGGTTATAGTCTCTACCGTTGCAGAAACTCCTTTCCACTTTCCTTCACTCACTCCTTCCTTCCGCCCCACTCTTACTCCCCTGACTTCCCTGCCCTTCCGCCCCATCCATACCCCGCCCCACTCCCTCCACCCCGCACTCTCCCTCCCCCCACCCTCCACCCCATCACCCACTCTCTCTCTCTCCCCTCTCCCACCCACCTCCCATCTCCCCCATCTCCTCGCTCTCCCTCCGTTACTCCCTCTCCCAGAGACCAGCAACAACCAGCTCTCCTGCCCGCTCCCATCCGGCTTCTGCCCCTCCACCCCTTCACTCATTCTCGCTCCCCTCCCTCTCTCCTCTCTCCCCCCTCTTCCCCCTCTCCCTCCCCCCTCTCCCCTCCCCGCTCTCCCACCTCTCCCAGAGACGTCAGCAACAACCAGCTCTCCGGCCCACTCCCATCCGGCTTCGCCAGCGCAGCCATCTCTAATCCAGACTCAGACGGAACCTTCCTCGCAGCACAGAACTACTTTACAGGCGAAGCCACCGTCCTGGTCGCCGGCGCCCCCTTCTGCCCCTCCACCCAGCCGCAATCCCCCGACCAAGCCCTCTCCTCCTCTGCCGCTGAAACCCTCTCTGGAGGGCCTTCCGTCTCTCCCTCCGCCGACCTAACCGGCCTCACAGACTCGGGAACGGCCGGGTACCCGTCGCTCCTGCTCAACTGCTTGACCTACTCGGAGTCCTCTGCGTGTGCGAAAGCCGGGTTGGTGGAGCAGCAGAGGACGGCGCTGGCGTGTGCGGGGTTCTGTGGGGCGAGTTTGGAAGCGGGGCCGTGCGGAGGGCATGGGCGGTGCGTGCTGAGGAAGGGATCGGGCGAGGCGACGTGCGCGTGCGACAGCGGGTTTATGCCCGGGCTTGAGAATGCGACGGTGGATGGCGTGGTGGTCACTTACACGACGTGCAGCAAGAACCCTGAGAATGGTGCGTGCGGGGTGTGCCGTGTGTGGGGTGTCTGTGGGGTATGGTGGGTGTGTGGGCGACATGCGCGTGCGACAGTGGGTTTATGCCCGGGCTTGAGAATGCGACGGTGGAGGGCGTTGTGGTCACTTACACGACGTGCAGCAAGAACCCTTAGAATTGTGCGCGGGGAGTGTATGTGGGGAGTGTATGTGGGGTGTGGTGAGGGTGTGGTGTGGGGGGTGCGGGGTGTGTGGGGTGTGTGGGTTATGTGGGTGCGGGGGTGTTGGAGGGGGAGGGTGGGGGTGAGTGCTGTGTGTGCTGTCTCCTCTGCTTCTCTTTTCTGCCGCTAGCGCGGATGTTCTGCCTGTTGTCGTTGACTTTTGATCCGTCTTAAAAAGCTAGCTGGGATGTTCGCCGGTTGTCGTTGCTTTCATCCATCTCAAGACAACTCCCTCGCCTCCCTCGCATCCACCACCCCCCACCCCTCCCTCCACTCACTCTGCAATCTGTCATCATTGAGAATTCTTAAAAACTCACCTTTAGAACGTACTCTTGCAATGAGCAGACCTCTCACCTTCTTTTCCCTCTGTCTCTCTGTGTGTCGTTGTGTGTGTGCATGTGCACTTTGGCGTGCATATGTACGCGCATGTGCGTGACTTGTGCATTGGCATGTGCATGTGCATGTGCGTGTGCATGTGCATGTGCGTGTGCATGTGCATGTGCGTGTGCATGTGCATGTGCATGGATCCATGATTGGCTGCATTCCCATCCTCAGCTGTACCTCCCCCAAACAAGCCTGCAACCGGTAAGCCCTCCACTGCACCACATGGCACGCCGCAGCACGTTCCAGTCTCAAGCTCAATTGATGCAGTTTCTCAAGCACCCTAACTTATCTCAATTTAGTCAAACAGCATCCAGCAACCCATCTCATCTCTCATCCATCCCACTCCCACCCACACATCTCCAACCATCTTCCTCCCATAACAGCTCCTTCCCATTTCACCCATCCAATCCCCTAACCCTCTCTTCCCCCTCGCTCCCCTCCTCCCCACACCCCACCTCTCTCCGAAACCCCATTCCCCTCTTCCCCCCATTTCCAGGAAGCTTCTCTACGGGCTTCCAGCCGAGCATCCCGGGTGGTCGGTTCTTCAACCCCTACTTCCGCTACGCCAGCGTGGGGTTCAAGGGCACGCCCTCCGACCCCTCCTGGACCTACAAGGACTCGGTTGACTGGCGCGAGCCCTCTGCCGGCTCCCTTACCAGCAGCAGCAGCCGCAGCGGCGGTGTGACCTACGTGGGCTATGTGCGAGACCAGGGCCAGTGCGGTGAGTTTGTCGTAATCCTTGTTCTGAGATGTCTAAAAGCTTCAAGGGCATGCCCTCCGACCCCTCCTGGACCTACAAGGACTCGGTTGACTGGCGCGAGCCCTCTGCCTGCTCCATTACCACCACCACCAGCAGTAGCAGCGGTGTGACCTACGCGGGCTACGTGCGAGACCAGGGCCATTGCGGTGAGTGTGCATTTTGGGACCTGCTAGTGGCTGTGATGAGTTGTCCACTCACAGAAAGCTGTGCTCATAAACTCACTCCCTCTCCACGCCCTCCTAATCGATACTTTTTTTTTTTTTTTTTTTTTCCGGGCGCTCCTCTTTGCCTTGTCGCTTGCCTTGCTTCTCGTGTGTTTCTCCTTCCCTGCAGCGGCGTGCTGTGCGTTCGCAGCAGTGTATACAGTGGCTAGCGCCTTTGCCATCGCGTGTTTTGAGTCGACTCAAAACACTCTTGCCTTGCTTGCTTGCCTGTGCGTGTTTCTCCTTCCCTGCAGCGGCGTGCTGGGCGTTCGCAGCAGTGGATACAGTGGCTAGCGCCTATGCCATCGCCAACCGCCTGCCCTCCGTGCCACCTCTCTCCACTCAACAGGTACCACCCTTGTCCTCTTTCTTCTCCATTCTCTTATCCTCTTTCTGTTCTCCGCATCCTCTCCTTCTCCGCTTGCCTTCTCCTCCCTTTCACTTCCTCTCATTCTTTATCTCCCATGGTCGTTCCCTTCCTCTCAATTTTCCGTCTACTCTTTCTCATCCTCTCCCCTCTCGTGCTCTCTCTCCCTCACCTCTCCCACCCACCTCACTCATCGTCTCCTCTCCTTCTCTTCCCCCCCTTCTCCCCTTCCTCCTCCTCCTTCAGGTGCTGGACTGCGCCAAGGGCGACTGCTCCTCCGGGGCCCTCCCAGGAGACCCCTTCCGCGAGTTTTCCGTCAACTCAAAAACCACCTCGACCTCACTCCCCTCCCCTCCCCTCCCTTCCCTTCCCTTCCCTTCCCTTCCTCCTCCTCTTCAGGTGCTGGACTGCGCCAAGGGCGACTGCTCCTCCGGCGGTTTCCCAGGAGACGCCTTCCGCTTCCTCGCATCCCCCCCTCTCGTCTCCTCCAACGCGCTCTGCTCCGAGGACGAGTACCCCTTCGACGGGGAGTCAGACAGCAGCGACCAGTGCAAGGGCGTGAAGGGGCAGTACCGCACCCCGCTCGTGTACGAGCAGATCAGCTTCTACGGCTGGCTGGGGATTGCGCTGGCCGTGCAGCAGCACCCTGTGGTGGTTAGTGTTGCCGCGGACAGCGAGTCGTTCAAGAAGTTCACCGGGGTGAGTGGCCATGGGTGTGGGTGTGGGTGTGTCTGTGGGTGTGGGTGTGGGTGTGTCTGTGGGTGTGGGTGTGGGTGTGGGTGTGGGTGTGGGTGTGTCTGTGGGTGTGGGTGTGGGTGTGGTGTGGGTGTGGCAGAGGCACTGTGTGTACACACACGCAGCGGACAGCGAGTCGTTCAAGAAGTTCACCGGGGTGAGTGGAATGGAGCTGGTGGGATGTGAAGGTTCACGAATCTTAGGGGATCAGAGGGTAAGTGGCCGTGGTGAGATCAGTGAGCAAGCGTGCTCTCCAGGCACCCCCGCACCCCTCACCGCTCTCCAGGCATCCCCGCACCCCTCACCGCTCTCCAGGCATCCCCGCAAGCGTGAGGGGGTGTGGGGGTGCTCTCCCCGCACCCCACCCCGTCCCCTCTCTCCCCCTCACAGGGCTACATGTACAACAGCCCGGCGTGTGGTTTGTATCTGTCCGTGTGCATTGCTTCGCTCAGTCTCTCACCGCTGCTGCTCATGCGCTCTCTCCCCCCTCCCTTCTCCTCCTCCACAGGGCTACGTGTACAACGACCCAGCCTGCTTTGCGTCGGGTCTCGTATCCCAAAACCTGGTGGTCGTGGGGTACAATGTGCTCGTGCCCGAGCCCTACTGGATTCTGCGCAACAGCCCCTTCACCGTCAGCCCCTAACTCCCCAGCCCCTCTTCTCCCCTCTTCTCCTCACCCCACCCCACCCCACCCCATCCTGCTCTCCTCCCCCCCCCGCCACAGGGCTATGTGTACAACGACCCGGCCTGCTTTGCGTCGGGCCTCGTCTCGCACAACCTGGTGGTCGTGGGGTACAATGTGCTCGCGCCCGAGCCCTACTGGATTCTTCGCAACAGCTGGGGGACGGAGTGGGGCGAGGACGGGTACATGCGCATGGCCATCACCGCCCGGCCGGATCCCACCGGAGCGATCGACGTCAATGGTGGCGCCGGCGTGTGTGGGATCTACGCGACCCCTGCGCTCTACCCCGTTGTTGCCGGTACGTGTTGCGCTGGGGTTGACTTTTGAGGCGCCTCAAAAGCGGGCGTGTGTGGGATCTACGCGATCCCTGCGCTCTACCCTGTTGTTGCCGGAAAGTGTTGCGCCGGGGTTCGGGGTGATTGGTTTTTGAGCCGCCTCCAAAGTTTTTTTGAGGCGCCTCAAAAGTGGCGCCGGCGTGTGTGGGATCTACGCCACACCCGCCCTCTACCCTGTTGTTGCCGGTACGTGTTGCGCCGGGGTTCGGGATCGGGCTGGTTTGTTGCACATGAGTAGCGGTAGTGGCACCGGCGTGTGTGGGATCCGATCCACGCAACGCCATTGTTACCGCTCTCCAACCCATTGTTGCCGGTACGTGCTGTGCTGAGCTTTGTGGCTTTGAGATGTCTCAGGGCGACTCTTTGGCCTTTGGCAAAATTTCCATCCCTCTCTTCCCCAGCCCTCTACCCCATCCCTCTCACCCCATCCCTCTCTCCTCCCATACCTCTGCCCCCCACATCCCAGGCCCGTCCCCCTGCCAGCCGAACCCGTGCGGTAGCGGGGCGTGCACCGTGGTGACGCAACTAGACGGCTCTCAGTCCAACCAGTGCCGCTGCCGCCGCGGCTTTGTTGCCGTTGACAACGTGGATGGCTCTCAGTCCTGCGCTCCTCGTACGCTTGGGGACCGCGGAGGAGGGAAGGGCGGTGGGGCCGGGTAGGGGGAGCTGTAGTGCTTGTTGGGGGAGAAGCAGGGGGAGGGGTGGTGGGGATTGTGGTTTGACATATTGCTTGGTTGAGAATGTGGACGGCTCTCAGTCCTGCGCTCCTCGTACGGTTGGGGGGGAAGGAGAGAGAAAGGAGGGACGCGTGGGGGGGGAGAATGGGGGACGGGGGTGGTGGGGAAGGGGGAGGAAAGGGTGGGGGAGTCGGGTGCTTCTTGAGAATTCTGGAAAAAAGATAGGATGATGGCACGGGGGGCCTTGCCGGCTTCTGCTCCTCACCTTGACTGATTGTTCGAAGGGCTGCAGCAGTTGAAAAACGCTTAAGCAAAGGAACAACAGTGGAAAAAACAAGCGTGAAAAAGACCAGATGATGGCACAGGGGGGCCTTGCTGGCTTCTGCTCCTCACCACCACGCACGCCCCTCTCTCTCTTTCTCCTGCTCATGCTCTCTCTCTTCTCTCTCTCTTCTCCCTCTCTCCCCCACCCCCATGTCAGTGCGTGTCTGTGCGCTGTACCAGACGAACCCCTGCTGGGTGGGCACGTGTGTGGACAACAACAAGGGCAGCTTCTCCTGCCTCTGCCCCCCTGGCTTCATGCAAGGCCTCAAGGCCGATGGCACCACCACCTGCGTGCCTGGTACGCTGCTCTTTCTCTCCCCCTCCCTCCCTCCCTTCCGCACCTATCCCTCCCGCCCTCCCTCCCTCCCCCACCTCCCCCTTCTCCCCATCTCCCCTCACTCTCGCAGCTCATCAGCTCATTCTTCAAAGCCCTTATAAGCCATCTCACAAGCCCCTCTCACAAGCACTTCCTTCCCTTGTCTCTTTGGCTCTCCTCCTCCTTGCAGTGATTTCGCAGGAGGACAAGGGCACGTATTTGATCACAGGCCCTGGCGTCACCTGCTACGCGCTGGCAATCAGCTATGGCTTCACTCAGGCTGAGCTCAAGGAAAAGAACCCTGTATGTGTTCTGAGAAAACCCACCTGCTGCTCCCACACTCACCGGCTGATTAACACTCACCGGCTGATTTCACACTCACCGGCTGCTCGTTGCTCTCACACTCAACTGCTGTTCTCTGCTCTCACTCTCACCTGCTGCTGTGGATGATAGTTAAGTTAAGCGTGCGGTGGTGTTGCTGCTAAGCCCTCATCCTTTATACCTCCACACCTCGCCTCCCTCCCTCCTTTTCTCCCTCCCTCCTCCCCTCCCTCCTCACCTCCCCACTCTCATCCCTCCCTTACCTTCTGTGCATACCTCAGGACCTTGACTGTTCCGCAAGCATCCCTCCCAGCACGCTGCTCGATATCTCCGACTCCTCGCTCGCTCCATGCTCGCTCCCCTACACAGTCACACCGGTATGCCATTCCCTACACAGTCACACTCGTTTCATATTCGATACTCCTTCAAGTGTATGGAGTACAAGTCGTGTTCTGTGCCACTTACCTTCAGCCATGCCGTCCCATAGTTCACACGGCAGCCTTCATTCAGCATGCATGCAGCAGCCTTTCTCGTGCATGCCATGCTGCATGACCCCTTATCATTTCCTCCTCTTTCTTCCGCTCTCTCCATCTTTGCATCGTGCCCTGCATTGCCTTGTGTGGCCCTGCATTGCCTTGTGTGGCCCTGCATTGCCTTGTGTGGCCCTGCATTGCACAGATCGACACGTGCGACTCGATAGCGGAGACATTCAACATCTCAGCTGCAGACCTCTCGTCTCTCAACCCCGCACTCGACTGCTCGCGACTCGTTATCGGCATCCAGGTAAGCTAAGCTAAGCCGCCCAGCTGAGACAACTCAAACACGCCGAAGCATAACAGCGCTTCGGGATGGAGAATATGACATGACATGACACCTTTCAGCAGTTCAGCTGTGGCATCTCAAACCAGGGTGGCTGGGAAAAAATTATGACATGACATGACACCTTTGAACAATTTACCAAGACTGGGACTCTTTTATGCGCTGGACGAATGGGACAACCCTCGCTCCTTGACCTTTCATGTACATCTACGACTGGGACGAGACAATCTCACGTCTACGTCTTCGCGCTGGTTCCTACCATGTCTGCCTCTCTCAGTTTTGAGGTGCCTCAAAACTAGTCTTCACCTTCGCTCCTTTCCACTCTCTGCTTCCTTGCCTTTCACCCGCTTGGCCCCAACCTTTGCTGTTCGTATTTGTGTACCTCAGTGGCTGCCATACCAGTTCCTTCTCTGCACACCACGCTTGAGACGTTTCAGACCTCCATTCCCTTTCAAAACCCCTTTGCCCCAATCTCTCTGCTCTGCTCTGCTCTGCTGTACCCTTCAGATCTGTGTGGCGCGAGGGCAGCCGTACCAGTTCCCTCTCTGCACCCGCTACCACGACGTGGCGGACGGCGAGACATGCACCTCCCTCATGCAAGTCCAAGCGCGGCCGCCCCTCTCTCCCTTTGAGTTCTTCGCAATGAATCCTGGCCTCATGTGCAACAACCTCGTTCCGACCAAGCCGGGAGACGGGCTGGGTGGGCAGCAGGTCTGCCTCTCCTCCCTCCCGTTCTCTGCGTTCAAATGCGCGTACCGAACTTACTACACCAAGCGCGGCGACACGTGTGCATCGATCTACATGAAGTATTTCCGCACGCCGGCTGCGAAGGCCAAGACGACGCCTGCGCGGCTGTATGTCCAGCTGAATAGCAACACGGTGTGCCCATCGACCCTCCGGGTGGGGTACCAAGTGTGTCTTCCCAAGGGAGTGAGGCCCTCGTAGAATGGTCCATGTGTGCTGCTTGTGTGCCATGTGTGTTGTGCAGTGGGGTGCAAAGGGGTGCTGTGGAAAACGGGTTCAGAGAGACTAGTTTTTGCAGAGGAGCCAAAGCAAGGTTCGGTGGTGGTGGCGGCAGTGGTGGCAGCAATGGTGGTGGTTGTCGTGGCAGAGATTGTGGCAACAGTGGCGGTGGCATGGTCAGTCTTGGAGTAGCAGAAGCGGTGTGGCTGGTACCATTCTTCGTGCTGCTAGGGGCTGCAATGCAATGGCTGTGGTGCCTGCAAGGAACGAGGCAGCAGCAGCGGAAGCAGCAGCAGCAGCATGACGTGTAACAGCCTTGAACGCAAGGACCATGACCATCGTGTGTTTGTACATTGAGGACTTCCCCGAGTTCCAAACAACAAACCATGGGTTCTGCAGCACCGCATCCAAGCAGCTTTCATTCTCGTGCATGCTTGGTTTGTTTGGTTGGAGTGCTGCGTGAAAGCAGCGTGGTGTGCACGTGCCTATGGTATGCCATGCCAGGACAGGCCATGCCGTGTTTGTATTGTATCATGGTTAACATACTCTTCTGACTGGTGGTGGCAGTTCCTGTAGCATTTTGCTGCGGCGATCGGTTGCTTTCTTTTGAAGCGTGTATCATAAGAGTTGTCTGTTAACTGACTATTTCCTTTGTTCACATATCCTCCGAATTATCTTCACGGCACGACATGTACCGAATAGGTTTCAGGACAAAAGAAACATAAAATCCGACTTGGATAATTGACCACCCCCCAGTATCTGGCTTTAGGTCTGCTTTTTGCAGATTTGGTTGTATGTTATCTTGGTTGGATCCCTTCTACAATTTCTTTTGGATCAAAACACTTTCAACGTCATTCCATTTCAGCTGGTGAATGGTACTTTCCTCGTTATTAGATTTATTTCACACGTTTCACATATGCCACATTTTGATATAATACAATCATTTAACGAGCAACACCAATGCACACGAGGCCGGATCAATGCACCTGGCCTACGGGATCAGCCATCTAAAAAAGGCCTTATGACCATCTACACCAGTATTCCACAGTTTGGATAACAAAAACAAAGAATTTAACAAATGAACAGCAAACACAGGTATGGCCGCCTGCTTGCTGGCTAGCGTCAACAGGCACAACACATCCCATGCCACAACCCCCCAAGTCCAATCCCATGCCCTTCCATTCCATCTCACACGCCTCCTCACCCAGGTCATCAAATTTCAGCGGCAAGTCAAGCATAAATCAGAAAGGGCAAAGAGACGCAGGACGAGCAACATAAGTGCCGGATGGTGCACGGATCATGGCCCACCGACCGACCCCACCGAGTTCAATCACACGACGGAGGGAGGCTGAGGAGGCAGGCAGAGAAGGGAGGAACTAGCGGGGTCTGCAGAGGACCTTGCCGACGTAGAGCGTGTAGCGGTTGCAGGTGAAGCCGGGGTTGTAGTAATACAAGAGGGAGGATTTGCAGCGGAACACCTTGCAAATGACCGAGCTGCACGTGTCGCCGCGCACAACTGTGTACGTGCCGTACAGGCACCTCGTTGCTCCCACTGTCAGCGACTGCACACACACCTGTGCAGACGAGGAGAAGGCGAGCAAGAGAGGAGCGACCAGGGAGGGCAAGAAAGGCAAGAAACTAGAGGTGAGTTTCGGCCAGAAAAGGAATCAGCGAAGGGTGGAGAGGGGGATCTGGATTCTGGATCTTTGTACCAGCAAGGTGAAGGAAGAATAGCAAGGGAGAGCTTGTAGGATGCGTCGGGTAAGCATCGGATGTACAGATAACGGTTAAGAGTGGTACCTGCTGGCCCACGAGACGCTGAGAAGCGTCGGACGTGCAGATGATTCCGGGGTTGTACTGGTAGAGCTGGGTGGCTGAGATGGGCGGCTGCGTGTTGATCATGACATCGTTGCACGTCTCCCCGGGGTTGATGTAGTAGTATGAGAGGCACGACTGGTTCTGCGGGCTGCCGATTTGCGCGCACAGAAGCTGGCCGATCATGAGGGACGCGCAGTCCAGGTCGGGGTTGATTGTCTTGAGCCCGTCAATTGTGAGGTTGAACATGGTTGAGACCGTGTCGCATGTGTCGCCCTGCGGTTGGATGGGGTGGAGAGCGGTGCACATGAGGAGAGCAGGGTTGAGGATAGGACGATGCGATAGAGGTGGTGGTGGGGAGGGGTATGTGGGAAGAACTGGAAGAGGAGAGCGTGAGGGGAGAGGGAACGGAGAGGGAGGGGAGGGAAAAAGTGCATGGACCGATAACAAGAACCAGCGAGGCAAAGCGAGAAGGCTAGGTGTGGGGGAGAAGGCAGGGGAGAAGGAAAGGCAAAGGAGGAGAGACGGCGGCTTACGGGTCCAACGGTGTAGGGAGTGACACAACCGTACTGAGTGCCTGTTGAGTTGCGGACTACCACCGTGGTGCCCGCTGGGATGGGCTTGACACAGTTTATGGTCTGTGAATAAGACAGGGAGGTTAGGGGACGCAGGCGAGAGGGGTGGATAAGGAGGGGCGGACAAAGAGGCCGGACAAAGAGGAGAACAGGAGTGGTTTAGGTCTAGGGCCAGGGCGATTAATGAGTGTACGTTTTACACCACTTAGGAACACCAGCTCAAGGCATCTTGCGTCTAGAGACTCAGTCTCAATCGGTGCGGAGGAGGGAGCAGCAAGCCAGAAGAATACTAGAAACTCACCGGGTTGAGGGTGATGAAATCAGCCTTGGACATGATGTAAGTAGATCGCACTTGCGCACACTTGATGGCCACGGGCATGACCACCGTGGTGGATGGCGGCGCTGCATGCCAAACAAGGGAAACAGGGCAGAGGAGAAGCGGAGGGGAGGAGAGGACAGCAGAGGAGCAGGCAACAAGGTTGGTACAGGAAAATGAGAGAGGGATGGATGCTGGACGACTGGCAGCCCAGCCTTGGGCGGTTGTTGGGAGAAGGAAGGGAAAAGGTAGGGCCAAAAGAAACGGAAGAGGACGAGCACAGTGCAGGGCAGGGTGGGGCAGGGTGGGGCAGGGTGGGGCAGGGCGGGGCAGGGCGGGGCAGGGTGGGGCAGGGCGGGGCAGGGCGGGGCAGGGTGGGGCAGGGCGGGGCAGGGCGGGGCAGGGCGGGGCAGGGTGGGGCAGGGTGGGGCGTTGCAAGGGAGGGCACTGACCAGGAACGCAGGTGGTGGAGCCATCAGTGAGGGCGCCGACTTGGTAGCCGAGGGAGCAGAGGCACGTGTAGCCGCCCGCCATGTCGTCCACACACGTGCCGAAACCACACGGGTTCATCACGAAAAAGGCACACACGCGCGCTGTTGCGGGGGGCACAGGAAGAGGGAGAAGAGGGAGGGGGTTAAGACAGGAGGATTAGCGAGAGAAGGTGGAAAGGAAGAGAGGGGCGAGAGCTTGGGAACTGCAAGAGAAGAGATGAGTAAGGGGCTTGCAGAAGGGAGGACGAGAAGAAGAGAAAGAGAAAGAGAATGCGTACTCATGGTGCAGGACTGCGTCTTGTCGAGGTTGGTGACAGCCATGAAGTTAGCCGGGCACGTGCACTTGTTCTTGAATGGCTTGCCCTTGAACGGCGTGCACACACCGCCTCCGCATGGGTTCGGCTTGCAGGGATCGGGCGCTGCAGGGGGAGGCAGAGAGGGCGAGAGAGGGAGAGAGAGGGAGAGAGAGGGAGAGAGAGGGAGAGAGAGGGAGAGAGGGGGAGAGAGGGGGAGAGAGGGGGTGGCAGGAGAGTTAGAAACCTGAGGGAGTGGGGCCAGGACGTCGGAAATGGGTTGTAATTCTAGGATATAGAGGAGTCGAGGAAGGTGGACGAAGGAAGGCAAGTGGAGGAAGGTGGAGGGGAAAGAGAGGAACATGCGAGGGAAGGGAAACTCACTCTGGAGGACCGGATACATTGCCGGCAGGGTGTTCATGCCACAGATGCCGGGGCCGCCCGCAATGGCGATCTTCATGTAGCCATTCTCGCCCCACGATGGGCCCCATGAGTTGCGGATGATCCAGTGGGGCGTCGCGTCCAGCAGGTTGAACCCCACCACCACCACCAGATGGTCCACGACCTCAGTTGCAAAGCAGTTGAGATCCGCGTAGACAAAGCCCTGCATGCAGCCACGAGAGCACAAACACACAAAGAAGAAGAAATCAGCAAACACGGATTCGTGTGGGAGAAACGCAGGCTACAGCGAAAAAGAAAAACGCATTACCAAAAAAAAAAAAAAAAAAAAAACAACAACAACAACAACAACAACCGCATACCCCGGGGTACTTGATGAAGGACTCGGCCGAGGCAGCAATGTAGGCAACAGCAGGCTGCTGCTGCACCGTGAGAGCCAGCCCAATCCACCCGCCGATCTGCACCGTCTCGAACATGGAAATCGCGTACGGCGCCGGAGGCAGCGGCACAGGCGCTGCCGCCCTCTTGGCCTTGAGGCTGCGAATGGCGCGAGAGAAAATGTCCGAGGGGTTGGCCAAGTCGGGAGAAACCGAGGCGGCGGAGGAAGAGGAGGAATCAACGGACTCAGAGAGGTGGCGGAGGGAGGAGGTGGAGATGGTGGCGTCTTCGGAGAGGAGGCGGCGGAGAGAAAGCGAGCGCTTGGTGACCATGCAGGAGCCAGAGTTAAGAATCCCGGTGTAGGGGTAGGTGTCTCTGGTGGGAAGGCCACCGGAAGCGGCGATGTAGTTGAAGGCGTCGTCCGGGCGGCCGCCCTCGCAGTCCCACGTGCCCTGGCAGTCGATGGCCTTCTGCTCCGAGATGTTGGGCGGCGCGACGTTGTAGACGATTGCGTAGAGGGCTTCCATGGCTGCCACGGGTGCGAACACCCAACAGGCGGCTGCATGAGAAGGTGGGAGGGAGGGGAGGAAGGGGGGGAGAGAGGGAGAAGGGAGGAAGCAAGAGGGGGGGATAGAATGAGAAGGAGGGTGAGAAATAGCTGGGGACAGTTAGGGGGCGACACAGCAGCGAGGGAAAATAAAAACAACAGCGACAG